AAAAATAATTCAAAAGTTCAACTTTATATTTAAAATAAACCGTTTTATTAATAATATAGTTTTTAATTAAATAAAGTAATAAGTTAAAATACATAATATTAAGGTTATACGAAAATTTAAAGTTTTTCAGTTATTTTACCACTCCCCCATTAATCTAAAACGTGTGTGTATCAAAATAATATTATACTCTGTATAATATTGAAAGGACTTTTATTTATTTTTTATAGGGCGAAACTTTATTTTTTTAATTAAGTGCAATAGATAATTTTAAAAAATTTCCAAATCAGGTATAAAAGGTGGGGTATATTTTGTTTTAAATCCATAATTATCAATTTGACATTAATGATTTATACCTCTCAATAACTGCAGATATTTTAGATAAAACAATTGAATTTACAAAAAGCCACACAGTTATTCCTGAAGAAACAATCTGCATAATAAAATATTGTAGAAAAGCCTTACTTTATTTTAATAAGGAAACATGGAAAAAGAAAAACATACATGACTGCTTTGAGGTAACAATGGGCAGTTATAATGGAGCAGAAATTTGTGAATTTGTTGGACTATATATATATTAGATTTATTAAGTAAAATAATCAATATAAATGATTTAAGCCTTTATCGCGACGATGGTTTAATAGTTATGCATAAAAATCTGGTCCACAGCTCAATAAAATTAAAAAAGATATAAAAATTTTTAAAAATATTGGCTTTCAAATCGAAATAAACATAAATTTAAATATCCTGAACTTTCTTAACGTCACATTTAACTTCCCTGAAAATTCATGTAAGCCTTTTAAAAAACCAAACGATGAATTATTGTATGTTAATATTAATTCAAATTATTCACCCCAAATTCTAAAACAAATTCCGATTTCAATTAATAACAGGCTAAACCAAAACTCCTCTAATGAAAAAATATTCAATTCCTCTAAACAAATATTTGAAGATGCCCTTAAAAAAAGTGGTTTTGAAGATTTTGAACTAAAATTTGGCCCTGAAAAATAGCGTACAAAAAAGCGATATAGAACTAAAAATGTAATTTGGTTCAACCCCCATATAGCAAAAATGTTTCCACTAACATAGGTAAAGTGTTTTTAAAATTAGTCGATAAGCATTTTCCGCCCTCTAATAAATTACATAAAATTTTTAATCGAAAAACAATTAAAATTAGCTACAGTTGCACAAAAAATATGGAAAGAATAATAAAAGGTCACAATAATTCTTTGTTAAACAAAAAAGAAATCCTAAAGAAAAATGTACAGAAAATTGTAATTGTAAACAAAAATACCATGGTCCAACAAGTGGAAGTTGTTTATCTAAAAATATGGTATATAAATGTATTGTTTCTTCTAAGAATGTGGCTTAATATATTGGCATAACAGAGGGTGAATGAAAAAAACGTTTTCCCAATCATAAGCAATCATTAAAAATAAAATGTATTCAAAAGACACCATGCTGTCAAAATATATATGGGAAATTAAAGATATAAACATTGATGATTTTATAATGAATTGGGCCATCCTTAAAACAGCACCTGCATATAACAATAATTCTAAATAATGTATACAATGTCTTCAAGAAAAATTTGAAATTATTACACATGCAAACCAAGAATGTTTATATATATATATATATATATATATATATAAATATATATATATATATATATATATATATATATATATATATATATATATATATATATATATATATATATATATATATATATATATATATATATATATATATATATATATATATATGTATATATATATAGGCCTTGTTTTAGATAAAAAAATGCTGAATGCATTAGCCTATTGTGATTTTGATGTCATAAAATTGTTTTTGTTTTTATATATTATAAAGGTATTATTATTTTAATTCGCTGCAATAAAATGTTATACCGCAAAACAAGTTTAAAAATATTTACAAAACAAGTTGAATATTATTTTTAAATATTATTTATACTTGTTTTTCGTTAATGGGTCAAATCATTATATTTCAGTCAATAGCCTGGAGTTACGATCTCTGATTTTCCTAGTTTTTACATATTGTTATGTGCATTATTTTGATATTATACTTGCTTCCCTCTCCCCATTAATTGTTGCCACCCCAACTTCCCTCCCCTCCCCCACTCACTCTTAGCTTAGGGGGTGTAGGTTGTTGTGTCCAAACAACATACAGACCATTGATCACCTAAATGAAAATAATATATAAAGAAATAACACTTTTAATTTAAAATTAATTTAGATATTTATATATTAAGTACCTAATTATCTAAATTAATTTAGAGTCCTTCATTTTAACAATAATGAAGGTCTTTAAAAAGTTATTGAACTCTTTATTTGAGCCCCTATCTACTATAAAGACCAGATCAAGGAGAGGGCAACCAACCATATATTTCTTTTTGTTAAGAAATTACTTAAAATTAGTTGTACCTCTCACATTGGCTGATTGGCAGGTTGGAGGGGTTTCTAATGCATTCAACCGTTGATAATTGAAAAATAGGGTTATTTAAAAATGCTGGCATTTTTGGTGTAAATTTCACAAGTTATATGCTTATATTCTGGTAATATTACATCAAAACAAAGTGTTAAAAAGGTTTACAAGCATCTCAAAATGTCTAAAAATTTGACTTTTAGATTTATTTGAGTTCTAAACTGCAACAAGCTGCCTATATTTTGCCGATTTATTGCAGACAATAGTAGCTAATCAGAAAACTCATGTAAATATTTATGGATGAATAGAAATCTGTAAAGATTTGTGGATAAATAGAAAATTGTTACAAGTAGTTAGTCATTTTAGCATATTCTAGCAGTTTTAGGATTTTTTCCACAGTTGAGGAGGTCATAAATTTTTTTCTAATTTAATACAAGTTAATAAAAAGCAATTTTTCAATAGAAAACTATCCAGAAAAAAGTTTTGGAAAAAATGAGACACTTGTTGAAATTGAGTAAATAGTTATACAGCTCTAAAGCTCTAAAATTACCGTTGTACTTTTGACCGTTGTACTTGGAAGTGTCAAATTTCAAATTTAACCTATTTAGATAATGCACATAACAATATATAAAAATTAGGAAAATCATAGATGGAAATACAAAGTTTCCATTAAATTGTTTGAAATATAATAATTTGACCCTATTACTAATAGGAAATGTTTATTTTTATATACTTTTTTTAATATAAATTAATTAAATTTAATAATGCATTTTTAAAAATATTCGATTTAAGCAAATATATTTCTTTTCTCAACATTTGTATAAATGAATTAAAATATGTAAATATTTTTAAATGATTTCTTAAATTTCTTATTCAAGCTTTGCAAGTAAAAATGATTTTTATTTTAAAAAAATTTAGGAATAATAAATAAAAAATTAAAAAACAAAAAATCGAAAAAGCAGTTGCCCTAAAAATAAACTAATTTTTTTTTAAGTATAAATAAAATTTTAAAATTAAACAATATTTACAAATTTTCAAATTAATTTTACAGTTAATTAAAAACCCAAGCATTAACTTTAATTTTAAAAATATTTTTAATTCTATTATTAAATAATCTTTTTTAATCAGAATTAAATTATATGCTTTTTAAATCTAAATTAAATGGTATATTTTTTTTTAATCAGAATAATTTTATCCATTTTTATTAAATATCATTATTAAATTATATAACTATGGTCTTTGCTTCAAGCCTAAAATCTGGGCGTTTTTCAGGCGAAAAAAATCAATCAATACAATAAAAATAAAATAAAAATAAAATCTCATAATATAAAACAACAATAAATTAATCTTTAATTTTTTACTCTTTTTTTATTATTATTATTATTATTATTATTAATAATATCAAGCAGCAGTTGTTTCATCAACTTTTCAATGTAAGATTGACAACTTGTTTGTTGTTTCTAAAATAAGTGACATTTAAGCTTTTTTTGAGTTTTTAGTAATTGATCTTTTAATAAGTTATATGAAATATATTCCCTGTAATATAACCAGCATAAACTTTAAATTATTCTTTTGAAAAATGAAAAAGAAAAAAACATTTTTTTGCTATTCAAGAACTTACTATTTAAATTTTTTATAAAATGGAGTATATCAAATAATTAATATGTTTTAAATAAACCTTTTATAAACTGGATGATAAATAAATAGTTTTCAATTTCCAGTATACGCTTTATGAAACTGTGAAAACGCATTAAAATTGTTAAAATGGTTATTGGTAAAAACAGTTCTTATTTTAAATTTAGATTGGTGCATAAGGTAATTCATTGTAAGGTAATTACATATACATTCATCAATTTCTTTTTGTAAACAAAAAACTGTTATTTAAACTTAAGAAAAGGTTTTATAAGAATTGATTTTAAAGCCCATGCAACAACTTGCTTCTAATTGCTTTATAAATTTTTGAACAATCATAAAAACAAAAACAATTTCTTTTTAAAGATTACTTTCTCAATTTTCATCAATTCATTTACTTTGATATTGGGCTGATCGCAAGAAGCACTCAATTACTTAATACACAATTTCTGTCATTAATTTTTTTAACTTACTACAGTTTGTTAATTTGTAATTATCATGTAACCATTTTGATAAATTAATATGATTATAAAACAATGTGAAGTTAAGATTTTTAATAACATCTATTAACTTCAAAAACAGTTGGTATTTTAAAATTATTAAATATTAAATACTCAAAATAAAGTATTAAATATTAAATATTAAAAATAAAGTAATAAATTGTTAATGCATTTTTGATCGCATAGTTGTTAATAACACTTCAATAAAGAAATATAGAAATTATGCATACTGGTAAAATTTACCATTTACATCTGTAAAAGATATGTAAAACTGTACATTTTGTACAAAATATACAGTTTTAAAGTTCACCATTAATTTAATATTTTATAAAAATAAACAATAAATATTTTTATCCTTTTTATTACCTTTAAGTAATTTTTTGATTTAAGATTGTCAAAAATTATTTAACAAATTTATTTGTTTAGATACAAAACTATGGCTTCTAATCTGTCTTATCAAAATGGTGAGATTTTATTTATTATTTAATTTATTATATAATTTAATTTTTATTATCAAATAAAGAAAAAAATAAACAGTTGCTGTCCCTTTTCAATATAAAAACCAAATCAAGGTGGTGGCTACCAACAATATTTTTATTTTTGTTATGAAATGACTTATATAGTTGCAGCTTTTAAAAGAGCCAATAGGTAGGTTAGTTAGTTAGTTGGCTCTAGTTTTTAATAATGCATTCAACCATTAATAATTGAAAAATCCAATGGTATTATAAACTGGGTCTGATGGTATTATAAGCTTTTAATCTTATATAAATATATATTTTTAAAAAAATTTTCAAGCATCTTGAAATGACTGAAAGTTGGAATTTTATAGCGGATGAGAACCCTATCCGTGAATAGGAATTTTTTTTTTTTTTTATTATTTTTTTTTTTTAATTTTTTTTTTGTCAGTGATAAATATTTTTTTATACCTTTTTAATATATATTTTTCAGTGAGTTTTAGTTTTTTTTATAAAATTAAGGAGTTGTCATTTTTCTCAAATTCAGCACAAGTTTGGTAAAAAACACAATTTTAATGACCAGAAATTAATTTAAAAAAGATTATAAAGATAGATTATAATAAAAAGATTTTAAAAAAGAAAAATGTTGTAAAATATTTATTTTTACCATTTTTAATTTAAAAGGACCATTATGTTATGTTTATAAGGCTATAATTTCGAAACTGTTATACTTAGAAGTCTGAAGTTTCAAGCATAACCTTAATAATTTAGATGAGGATATATAAGAAACAGAATAGTGTCCCACAACATTTTTTTAAAAATTAGCTGAAACATAATGAACTGACCTTACATTGCTTTCTAAAACATGACAGTTGTATTTTTAAAAATTTTACTTTTTTATCTGTTTTTATCCCAACTAAATCTTTTGCATCCTAATGTTTTTTATTTTAAATTAAATAAATTTTGTTGAAGCGCTAAATTGATTAATCTCTGTTCTGGGTAATTTTACATCAAATCATTTGGTCTCTAGAACGGTGTGCCTTTCTTTTTGTTTAATGTTTTCACACACTATTGCTATTTATAAGAATACATTGAGTGCAAATTTTGTTTCAAAATGCCCAAGATCGAGAATTTAGTAATGGTTTCCTGAAATGACTTGGTTTTTTTAAAATATAAAAAAAATGTTTATCTTAATAAACTAAAGATTAACATAGCAAAAGTATGAAAATAAACACATTAAGTGTTTTTGCAGAATTCATTAAATATACAGAATTGAATAAATATACCTATAATACTGAAATATGAAAAAAACATTCTTAAAAAGCAATGAAACAACAAGTATATTTAAAACACTTTCGAGGCTTGATATCTTAATAATATTTTCTTTTTTTTCTTTTTTAGCTACTTAAAAGTTTATCGCCAATATCGGCAAATAGTTTAACAAAGATTTAAGTGGAAAACAACGGTTACATATAGAACTATAACTTCAAAAATAAATTACTTTTTCAATAAATTAGAGCATCAGGTTGAAGTAGTTCTTTTTAAGATTGTGTATGATTGTGTAGTTGGTGTCTGTACTACACTTCTTTACCCTAACCCAGTTGTCCCCAACTGATGAAAGAGACAAGTACCAAAATTACTGCAATATTGTACCTTTCTTGCTGTCCTTTATGTTGCAATTGTAGTTCATACTTTTTATGCTTAAGTAAAACATAATAGCAAATAAAAAAGTTTTTCTTAAATATAATAACATTAACTCAAAGTAAAATTTTTGTTTAAAGTTTCTTCAATCTTAACAACTACTAATAAAAATCACATTCATAAAAATTAATTTAATTTATATTATTTACCGCATTTTTTATGTTAAGAAATTTTTAGACTTTTATTTTAACAAATTTAATTATAAAATTGAAAAATATATGAAATAAATATATATATATATATATATATATATATATATATATTTATATATATATATATATATATATATATATATATATATATATATATATATATATATATTTATATATATATATTTATATATATATATATATATATATATATATATATTATCTATATTTATATATATATATATATATATATATATATATATATATACATATATATATATATATATATATATATATATATATATATATATATATATATATATATATATATATATATATTAAAACGATCAAAAAAAGATGATTGACTTAAGCTAGCTGCTAGCTTTTTTCTTTATTTGTTTTTGTTTTTGTTTTAAAACCAAATTTTTTTTTTATTTTTTTTTTAACAGTGGTTAAATCCCTCTCTCAACACTTAAATCCTAAAAATGAAACTTAATAAACAATGCTACTGTGCAAAGAAAAAAGTTGAGTTAGAGCCGTTAATAAAAAGATTTTAGTAGACAAATTTCAATTTTAAAGTGTTTTCCAGAAAACTCGAATCAACATAATTTAAAAAGTTTGTTAAAAGTAATAACATAAAACTTGAGTAAAAGTTTTTTCAGGCAGAGTAACAAATAAAAAATTGTCAAATATAACTACGTTGATTCTAAATAAAATGTTTGAAAAAATTCTTCAATTTTGAAGCAATAAAAATCATTTCACTAAAAGTTACTTTCATTAAATTTATCAGAAATTTTGTGTCAATTTGTATGTATGTGGTAGTGGTGTAGTGATAGTGTGCTTACTTTATAAACAGGAGGTTCCGAGTTCAATCTCCATTATGTACCTGCAGGCCTTGCGATGAATAAGAACTGCGCGACGCCTAAGCACGACGTGATTTTTGACGTCATTAAATTCTTTTTATTTGCTTTTCATATTTATCGACATTAACTGCACCAATTTACTTTATTACCGCAAAACTACTTTAAATCGTTTATGTAGAAATGTTATTATTTAAAAATGTTTTGGAATGTTTCGTTTTTTAAAATGTAAAAACATTTGTTTATTTTCTCGACGTTTGTCACGTTTTGTCCAAACTAAACGAATAAAAAACATTATAATTTAAATTTAAAAAAGATTATAAAATATGCTAATATTTGATTTTTTTTTTCTTAAATATGTAATTTAAAGTTTTTCAAATAATTTTTTTTTTTTTTTAAAGTCAGATAGTAATAAACTGGAAATTTTAATATTGTACGATTAAAAACTGTGCAATAGCTAATATTTTTACAAGCGATTTTATATAGTATTTATTTATTTATTTTTATTTATTTTCAAAAAGCGGTTGATAAGCACAATCACTCGTATTAATAAAAAAACTTGAACGAACGTTTTGAATAATTTTTAATGTTAACAAAGAATTTTATTTCTAGTAAAATAAAATAAAATGTTAGAATAAAAATTTATAGGTGTAAAAGAAATATTTCAGCGAAAAAATTATTCTTATAAATTGTTCTTAAAAATTATTCGAAAAACTATTGACGTTCTATTTTTCAGCAGCTCTTCTTGAGCACGCTTCGTTGAGTTTCGGTAACTTTTAACATAAAAGCGATCGTTATTATTTAAGTAATTTTTTTGAGTTACTTTTTACAAAAATTTTAATAACTGTACTTTTTCATTGAATCAAGTAGAATACGTTTTAATATTAATTCTTTTTTATTTTTTTATTTGCCCTCACCAATTTTTAAAATGTTTCCTCGAAATTACTCTTAAATACGTCTAACAGTTAATAAATATTTTTAAATCTATGGAATAATTTTAAAACCTAACAAACCCCCGTAAAATAATTATATAAGTTTAAAATCTAAAACTAAAAGAAAGTATTTTTGTTCAATTTTATCGACAACTTTGCTATTGCTGAATAATTTTAATTAAATGTTAGCTTAAAAGATTTAAACTTTTTTTTTTTATTTTTGAATTTTTTTTACTTGTAAATAATGAGCATATTTAATTTTTAAATTCAAACTTTTGTTTCAACTGCATGCGGTTTTTAAAATACTTTATTAAATGTTCAAATAATCGTAAATTACTTCATTAAAATTCCGCTCAAAAATATCTTTAAATATACTCAAACAAAAATTTTTTTGCTCGATGCAAATAGCCCTAGCTACACGCAAAATCGCTCTTGGACGACGTAAAATTCACATCGCCCGACGCTTTATCGCAATGCCTGTACCTGGTAGTACTGCACTCAACTTGTTTCTCTGCATATCAGTCTTGTTCGTCAAGATATGTGTTTCAGGGTTATGAAGTTAAGAGAGATTTATATTTACAATTAAGAAGCCTCTTTGCTTTTAGTAGCCTTCTTAGCCTTGGGGAGGTAAATTTACATAAAAAAAGTATATTATTATAAATATTTATATGTCTATACAAAAGTATGTATAACATATACAATATAATATATAATAATAAATCAGTTGTTATAGTAATAATGATCATTATTAGCAAATCATGATGATGGTTTTAATAGAAATTGTTTTGTTTTATTTAGATTTGGCAAGGTTGTCTGCTGAACTTAAAAATTTTTATCTTAAGTATTATGGAAAAATAGGTGAACTACAACCGCTATTACAAGAATTTTCAAAATTCTGCAAAACTCAAAAGAGAAATCTGATAAATAAGACTTTTGATTTTAGTGTTGAACAAAATTTATTTTTTGAAAACCAAATGAGTTATACACCAATTAAATATAGTGAAATATTTTCAAATGAAAAATCAGTAATATTAATATCTGGAATAGCTGGTATTGGGAAAACATGGTTGCTTAAAAAATGTTTGGTTGATTGGTCAAATGGTTTAGTTTGGAAAAATGTTAAACTTGTTTTTTATTTGGAATGCAGGAGACTCAATCAATATCCAAATATTACGAATATTAATGAATTACTAAATGTTTTCTACAAAGATATTGTAAATGACTTTATATTTAGTAGTCATATTACAATGTTTATAATTGATGGATTAGATGAGTTTAAATATTTCAATGAGTTATTAAATCCAAGTTTGACTTGTAACTATCCAATTGTTAATGCTTTCGCAGAAATTACAAAATACAAATATGTAGTTGCTGGTAGAGTTTATGCAATAGATCAATACCAAAGTATATCTACAAAACATAGCCATAAGTTAACCATTCAAATAATGGGGTTTAATGAAAATAAAATAAATAATTATATAGAAAATCATGTTGTGGAAGAAAAAAAAGAAGTTGTAAAATCAACTTTAAAAGAGTCTCCAAATGCAAAAGTCATGGCATCTGTTCCGTTTTATTTATCTTTAATGTGTAAAACTATAAGTGATTCACAAAATATTGATTCAAATTCTTTCTTAACATTGACAGATTTGTATGCAAATATTTTTTTATATTTTTTGCGAGAACACATAATTAAAAACAATAAATTGATTTATGAGATAATGGAAGAAAGTTCCAATAAAAATTATATTTTAAATATTTGTAAAATTGCATATAAATTGTTTGTTGAAAATAAAATATTTTTTTCTGAAGATGAAGTTCAAGGTTTTTATAGTGACGTTGATAAAAATGAAAACAATTATTTTGGATTTATAGAAAGGATTGAAACAGATCTCGATTGTTATTATCAGTTCGTAAATTCAACAATAATGATGTTTTGTGCATCAGTATATGCATATAATTGTATAAGTTGTGATGAGATTATGGACAATAAGAGGCTGAAGAGTTGCTTATCAATGATTTGTGGATTAGCCAAAAAAAACCAAAACATTTTGATAAAGTTTCTTGTTAACCTGAATCCTTCAAAAGAATCCAGTGAAAAAGCTTCACTTTTGTATTCCATTTTGGGTAAGTTCTGAAACATTGATGCATTATTTTGAGCCTAATTTAGATAATCATTCAGGTGTTCAATAAGATGTCAATAATATAGAGCTTTTTACTTTTTTTTTATTTATTATTTTAAAGTATTATTTTACATTTTATATGTTTTATATGTTACGAAAGTTTTGGAAAAAAAATTTAAATAACTATACTATATCTAATATGACACAAAAAAGTTTCATTGTGTGAGCATTGTTCGCTTTATAAATGCTGAAGGTGGTTATGTGGTTTTAGTTTTTTAGATTTTTTTAATGCTTGCATGAGTGTGTTTATTCAATTATTTTAGAGTTAAATAAAATACTATTCTTTAGGAAACAAAACATAATTTAAAAATTCACTGTTCGCACAAATCTTTTATATATATATATATATATATATATATATATATATATATATATATATATATATATATATATATATATGTAAATTCTTCAAAATATTTTCTTAAAGTATAAATTATGTAAAACATGCATAAAATACATATTTTTGTATTTTACAAAATCAGTTTCAAATATTTAAAACTGATTGTAGTGAAACTACAAACTGATTGTAGTTTAACTACAATCAGTTTGTAAATATTTATGATAACATAATATGTTATCATAAATATTTTAAAACTGATTGTAGTGTCTTAATTATAATGTTATTCAGTGTGATGAACATTAAAATCACCAACAACAACTATATTGGCTTATGAATAAAGAGAGAGGGCTTGGTCAATATGATCAGAATTAACATCAAGAAGAGGACAGTCTTCAGATGAAGGAGAGTGATATAGAACAAAGAAAAAGGTGATAGAGTGAAGTGGTGCTAAACGAAAGTACGTAAAAGAGTAGTCAGTGGATTAAAACCTAGTTTTTCGACAAATGGGTGAATTTTTACAAATATAAATGCCCTGGCCAAGCATGTGACTATTGTAGCCCTTATGAGTTAAATGAAGGTAACCATTAACACTTAGATTACAAGATGAGACAGCTGAAATCAAGTTAGGCTCACAAAGAGCAAGTAGGTCTGGTAATCTTTGCAAGAGATAAGACTCAACAGACAAAAGTTACTTCGAAGACCACAAGTATTAGTGAATGATAGGTTCAGCAAACTTAGTGATGACTGTGGTTTTTTGTGTTTCGTTGTTTTTGTTACTTTATTGATTTTTAAATTTGATAAAGACTTGAAACATAGCTATTACACAGTTCACTGTTTTATAGCCCAAAGAATTGCCTCATTACTATTAATAAACCTTAAGCTGTAACAAAGGACTCCAATGTGGTTTTGGCAATGCACACCAAAAGTACAAACAGGGACAGCATCCATGAGCAACATGGCACTGTAAATACTTTGATATTTTTTAGCTGTTGATGGAATCAGCCTCTCTGAGGTCTACCACAGAGTTTGAGAAACCTGACTACCAGCTAGCCTCAAAACCATAGAACTAAGTTTTAGAGCTGTACCCTCATTAGGAGGTAATAGAATGAGTTGCCTAGTCATAAAAACAGAGGCGCAAGCAAAACCCATGCATCGAGTCAAAAAGATCCTGCGTTCAACATCCTAATTAGGAAACAATATATTAATAATACATTTGCGCCAGCCTAATAGATAAAGAAGGGGTGCAATGCTGATCAACAGATAAAATCTGTTTACCCTCTTAAGTCGTTTTTGAATATTATGGTGCAAAAAGAGTTGCTTTCCAGTTTTGGGATATTTTTTTATCAAACAAGCTCTTTTTTTATCAAGAATATTACCTGCCTCTGACAATAGTCTTATTTTTAATGTTTCATAACTTTTAAATAGTTAAAAAGTATAGGATGCCTTATACAGTAAATATTTTTTATGTATATATTTTATATAATTATGTATATGTAATTATATATATATATATATATATATATATATATATATATATATATATATATATATATATATATATATATATATATATATATATATATATATATATATATATATATATATATATATATACATATATATATATATATATATATATACATATATATATATATATATATATATACATATATATATATATATATATATATATATATATATATATATATATATATATATATATATATATATATATATATATATATATATATATATATATATATATATATATATATATATATATATATATATATATATATATATATATTATATATATGGACATGCAAAAAAAAAAAATTTGGAAAAAGTCATATGTTTTCCTAGATTAGACTTATTTGTTTAACTCATTTGTATCGTTTCTGGTAGCCATGGTGAAATAAACTAAATTTACATATGAAATTTAATTATTTATCTTATTATTTTATTCCTAATGTATTTAATTTAAACTTCATGTGCATATAATAGGCACAAGGCCCATAGGTAAAATAAAATAAAGAGTAAATAAATAAAAGAATATATACAGCTATCTACAACAACCCATCATCTGGACAGTCCTAATTTTCTGTTAACCGGACCAACTTTTTTAATGTGATCCTAGAGTTAGACAAAAAAGTGTCAAAAGATGAATAAAGATTAATAGTGTTAACTAATATTAACCATAAATAAAAAAAAATAATAATAAAATGAGTTAAATTTTAATTATATTGCCATTTTTTAAATTTAAAATATCAAATAGAAATTTCAATAAATAAGATATTTTTTTTGAACTTGAGTCTGTTTAAAGAGATGTTCATTGTTGTTGTAAAACAAATAAATATATCTACAGTTTTTCCATATATGTTTATCATATATAACACCTTCAAATATATATATATATAATATCTTCAACTCTATAAAAACTTATTGTCAAGTCTTCAACTCTATATATATAATGATATATAATATCTTGATGATATATAATAATGTAATGTATAACAATGATATATAATATCTATATATATAATGATATATAATATTTATATATTTAATAAAATAATATATAATAATGGCATATAATATCTATATATATAATGATATATAATATAATAATATATAATATCTTCAACTCTTAAATATCTTATTGTAGAGTTTCAATAATGCTTCTATTCTTTATGGAGTTTTTATTATATAATCATACTATGTAATAGAAACAACATTAAATAAATCATAAAATCTATTCACATAATCAAATAACCATTTGATAAAGAAATAAAGTATCAAAAAGTTAAGTGAAACTCAATTACAACTTGTTGCTCTTAAGTTATAATCTATAAACATTAATTTTTCACCACTTTCTGGTGATAGTCTATTTCTATAAGATTCATAAATATTGCCACCTTTACTAAAAAGCCTTTCACTTTCTACAGAAGAAAGTGGTGCTGAAAAAAAATTTTTAGGCTATTTTCTTCAAATTTTTTAAAGAGTTTCCACAACTTTTCCACCATGAAAGTTTCTTTTTTCCATTACAAGAGGGAGTTTTAAGTACTCTTTAATTTCCTTGTTTATCATGTGTATATTGGAGTTTAATCTTTTTGATCCTTTGCTATTTTGCTATTTACAAAATTGGTATAATCATTAGTTTTCATTATAGGAGGAAACATTCATTATAACATTTCATCATCAAACATTTCATTATAGAAGGAAACATTCTTTGAATTTTGGATGAGCTGGTTTTACTTCATTTCTTTTACTTTTTGTGGGTTCATCACAATTACAATAAGTTGATTCAACTTCTAAACTATGTTGTTGCATTTCTTGTATCTCTTTCTTATGATATGTTCATTTATATAAGTGAAAAGACATAAAACTTGTTATGCAAAAATTTACCCAGTCTTTTGTCTACTGACTCATTTAATTGTTTAACTAAAGTAATTATACTTAAAAAAGCCTCACACTTTAATACTTGGTTAAAAAATTCAAAGCCATAATCGAAGAAATAAAATCAGACATATATGCTTCTTGTTTGCTAAAATTAACAGTTAATGTTTTGAATGGCTCTAAAATATGAAAAATTTTATCTAATAAACCCCATTGGAATAAACTCAATATTGATTGAGTAGCATGATTAGCTGTATAGGTTGCCAAAGGAACTCTCTGATCAAGCATTCCTTCAATCATATCATAGGAATTATTCCATCTTGTAGCAACACCTTAAACTAACAAATGCTTATTTGTACCAAGTTGTTCCTGAATTGCTTCTAATTTTGCTGCTGTTGATGAATGGTGAATGGTGAAAATGAGTTGCCAAATGAGAAATTTGTTGGTGAATGGTGAAAATGAGTTGCCAAACGTCTGCAACAAGCTAATATATCTTTTACAGATTTTTGTGACAAAACTGAGTCATGTATACTTAACTGTAATGTATGAGTAAAACAAGGCATTGACTTGAAACCACTGTCTCTAACACCAGCTACCATATTGGCAGCATTATTGTGTAAAAAAATGTGAATTTTTATGTGTGGAATTTTAAAACTTAGTAAAAATTTAAATATTTACTTTTGTTTTTTCCTGTGAGATTATTTGGAAAATGCTTAACTCTGAGTACTGCTCTTTGTTGGGAAAATTCATTATTGAGCCAGTGTGCTGTCATACTTATGATAGCAACATTTGAACTATTTTCTGTCCAAATGTTAGTTGTAAGGGATATATAACTTGCAGCATATAAATTATTCTCTATAGAGTTAAATAGCTCATATATTTGAGGAACAACATTTTCACTACAATAACTCCCACTGGGTATTTAATCATTTGGGTACATTTCTTTAATTAACTTTCTAAAACCAAGATCTTCTACAATTGTTTATGAATGAATGTCTAAAGTTATCATTTCCCCAATGCGATAATGGATCTTGATTGCTCTACTCTAATTTAAAAGATTTCATAAAATGGATAATAATGGTAAAAATAATGGTAATAAAATGATATAATTAAAACTCTTTTCTCTTTTTCAATTGCACTAAAATCTTTTAAATCTGTTACTGTACCTAAATCTATTTTGATTTTCAGGAATGATCTTTTACTATCCC